CACACACACACACAGACACACACACACACACACAGACACACACACACACACACACACACACACACACACACACACACAGACGTACACACAGGCGTGCGCGCACACACACACACACACACTCACAGAGACACACACTTTATAATTATTTATAAAATATGACTATTAATAATAATAGCATTTATAATAGCATTTACTGTTTGCCACAATTTTATTAGAAATGTATTATTTATTAATTGAAATTAGTAATATTAATCATAACATAAAAATTGAGTAATATACCGTTTGGTTGCTACATACTCTAAATGTTGCACAATCAAGTCATGTTGAAATATCAAGTAGGAAAATCCCACATTCAACTCTGAACGAAGTGGTTTAACCCAGCTGTCCTCTGATTGGCTGCTGCACTGAAACAGTGGCGTCTGATTGGCTGCAGTACCTTTGCAGTGTCTGTGGAGCACATCCAGAGCAGCGATGAGGAACTCGTGAGCGTCCTGCTGCTCGTAGCCGGCGAGGTGTCGAGCGTGAGTCCAAACCAGGTGCAGCAGCCGGAAGGGAATGTGAGGAGAGCGGTGACCCGAGTAGAACTACAGAACAGACGAAAGAGAGGAGGATGACATGCACCACAGAAGGTTTAAAGCGTCATGAAACCCCCCTGTCTCTGCACTGGTCTTTCACACCTTAGACCTGAAAAAGACTCTAGAAATGGGCGTGTAAATACAGTTTCACACTGAGTGCGAGGCCAAAAAGCAGAACTGTGCTTTCACACTGAATGCAAAACGACTGCTAATTCACGCCTCCACGCTAGGTGGCATTTTTCCTCAGATATGTATCTCATATATGGGCTTATAAAACGGATAGTTCCGGTCCTTGATTCTGATTGGCTGAGCCACGTTCGAAACTGTTGTAAACAGAGCCGTTGAGAAACAGAGTTGCGACACTCCCATAGGCTTCCTTAGGAACTGAGGAATGCGGAAGTGAAGCGTGTCACGGAGCAGCCAATAGTTCCAGTATTGAAGCCCATTCATTTCAGTGCTTCTCAAGCACACTCGCCAGAAAGTTGAAAAAATTACAGCAGTTTTTGGCATTTTAACATATTAGTTTACCTCTCGGAAATCTGTCCAGTAGTTGCATTTTATGAAACGTGTTATAGTTAATGTTTAGTTTTAGATAATAGGCAGTTATGCTATATTTGCAGTTAGATAACGTGAGAAACACTTTAATAGCGATCATAACTAGATGCTAGTTGTCATATTATTAAGTTTTTTGTCTTTCTGCAATCTTTCTCTCCCTGTAGGAAGTTGAAGGAGTTTCAGTGAAGACTGCCCATTAAAGGAATACAAGAAAGAGTTTCCCTGAATGCAGTTGGTAGCCTTGGTTTTTTTAATGTTTTTTTTTTGGGGTTAAATTCCATATTTGCTGGCCTTTTTTAACATTCACTTATATTGTCTTCTTATATAAATGTCATAAAATAATACTGGGATGTGAGTAATTAATCTTTTAAATTCAACATAAAAAAAAAAAAAAGCAAAACTTATAAACATTGAGTGTTTGATAATGTCTAAATATACAATGCAAAACATAACATACAACAGGCTTCATGACACTTTAAGACACGTGTGTTTGTGTGTGTGTGTGTGTGTGTGAGAGAGTGAGTGTGTGTGTGTGTGTGTGTGTGAGCGAGCGAGCGAACGAGTGTGTGTGTGTGAGCGAGCGAGTGTGTGTGTGTGAGCGAGCGAGCGTGTGTGAGCGAGCGAGCGAGTGTGTGAGTGTGTGTGAGAGTGTGTGTGTGTCGTGAGAGTGAGTGAGTGATTGAGTGTGTGTGTGTGTGCGTGAGAGAGTGAGTGATTGAGTGGGTGTGTGTGAGAGAGAGAGTGAGAGTGAGTGAGAGTGTGAGTGAGTGAGTGAGTGAGTGAGTGAGTGTGTGTGTGTGTGTGTGTGTGTGTGTGTTGAGCGCTCACCTCCTGAAAGAGCTGAGACATTTCACACACCAGGCAGGAGTTGGACTGCATCTCACACTTGTGTCGGTCGGACAGGAAGAAGTCCCTCAGCAGCGGAGTGTGTGTGAGAGCCTGAACGATGCAGTTCATAAAGCACGTGTTCCCAAGATTTATCAAACCCCTCAGTCCTGGAAGAGACGAGACGGGAAACATGGAGAGAGGTAGAAATAAGGATGAACATGAAGATACGTTGTGGCTGAGTATTCACAATAAAAGACTCATCACCAGTAATAGTTATAAAATAAAATATAATTTTACATTTTTAAACGGTTTAAAAATTCTAAACTTTGTAGCTTTTCCTTTTAACTTAACTATTGATACTAAATTTCTAAAAAATAAAAATAAAAAGTACAAACCATAAAAAGGGAATTAAAAATACAACTGGTATTATTATTAATTTGCTTTGTATCATCTACTGTTATAATTTGTATTATTATTTATAAATAATAATAATAATAATAATAATACATTACTATAAAAATTACAGAGTAAGAACAAATGAATATAAAATACAACTGTTGTTATTATTATTATTAAATCGTTGATAATTACTAAAAATGTACAAACCATAAAAAGAAAAAAAATATACAATTGTTATTGTTATTATTATTATTAATTTACTTTGTATTATTTACTGTTATAATTTTGATTTGATATTTATTATCATTTGTAAATAATTATAATTATTATTAATAATAATAATAATTGTTACAATAATAACTATTTACTTTGTATTTACAGTTATCACCATTTTTATTAGTGATTTATTATTTATAAATTGTATTAATTTACATTGCATTGTTTATTGTCATCATTTTTATTAGCACTTTATTATTAAGAATAACTTATTTACTTCATATTTACTGTCAATTTTTATTAGTAATTTGTTTAAATTAAAACATTTTTTTAAATTAATTTACTTTGTATTTACTGTACCACCCCCTTTTATTAATAATTTACTATTATTTATACATTACTATACTTAACAATAACATTTTATTTATTTACTTTACATTTACGATTTGTCAATTTTATTAGTAATTATAATAATAATAATAATAATAATGAATGAGTAATATGCAATAAAGATTCAAAAATAATAATAATAAAATATAAGTCCATCTGGAGGTTACACAGAAACCAATTTGGGCAACATGCATATAAAAACAAATTGAAAAAATTATTTAAAAGGACATAAAATAAAAACAAATGGTGAAACGTTCTTGGCCTATTAGAAAATCTAGTCTGGCAGCACAGGCTGCCGGGACACAACAACATCAGATTGATAAGCCAAATCTCTTCAGTTCAGCGCTTGTGCAAATGGTTAAAACTGAGCAAACCAATGCATTTTCACAAGGTAAATATCCTCGACTCGATCTGAAGTGCATAGCCCCGTCAGAGCCTCCGAGCGGACAGAAGGCCTGCGCTCCTCTCACCGGGTGGCTAAACGTCTTCAACTGGCTTCACTCCCAGACATCTGCTCCTCACGCTTCCCAGAGTTTAGTTAAAGAGAGGGACGGAGACGGACACACGACCAAAACAAGTAGCCGAGCATGAGAAGATCTGGAGAGAGACACACGTCTCCTGCGGCACCTCACGCTTTCAAGTGCTAATATATTATTAATGAACATCATATTGATCCTGCTCACACACACACTCCGCTGCTGACAACGACCCCCTGCTTCACAAACCAGCATCCACCAAAAACAAACTGCTGGCACAAAATAAACTGGGTGTGCATCACGTGAAATAAAATGTCATTACGCAAGTTGTTTTTAGGCATTGCTATTGTAAGTAATTAAACGATGCTGGTAGTGATTCCACAGTTCCATTAATAATTCTTGAAGTTTGGAGGAATATTTGGTATAATTTTAGATAGTCAGCCTTAACTATAATTGTGATAATAACTGTGATGCAAGTTTCACAGTAAAACAAAATAAAACAAAAGAATAAGTTGTAAGCGATGTGTGTGATTCACTAAAAAGAACTAGCTCAAAAGAGTCATTCGTTCGGGAATCGGTTGGATCAGTCCGGTTGTGCGGTGTTTTTCGATTTAAGGTAACGAAATGGTTTAAAAGAATCATTTGATCAAGAATCGGACTACTCTGGTTGTGCTGAATGGTTTTGATTCACTCGGACCAACTCAAACGAGTCAGTAAAGGAATCTGTTTGATCACACTGGTTTCTGATTCACCAAAAAGAACCTACTCAGAGTCATTGATTCAGAAATCTGCTGCATGCTGTATGTTTTCGATTCAAGATACTGAAATGACTCAAAAAGAGTCATTTGCTTGAGCATTGCAATACTCTGGTCGTGCGGTTAATTTTTATTATTCACTAAAAAGAATCAACTCGAGTACAGGAATCAGTTGCATAAGAACAGTCACTCTGTACCTTTTCGATTTACAAAGAACAGGCTCAAAAGAGTCATTTGCTTGAGAATCGGACTACACTGATCGTGCTGTATGGGTTTGATTCACACACACACAAAAAAAACTCAATATATTCAATATACAAATACTCAATAGATATTCAGGAATCATCTAGATCAGTCGTATTGTGCTGTATCTTTTACATTTGACTATAAAGAGCTGGCTCAACAAGAGTCATTTGCTCAAGAATCAAACTACTATGGTTGTGCTATATGTTTTTGATTCACTACAAAGAACCAGCTCAAAGGAGTCAGTCATTTAGGAATTGATTGTGTAACACTGGTTGCACAGCGTTTTCATTTTGTCAAAGAACTGGCTCAAAAGTGTAATTAATTTGTAATCAGACTACTCTGGCAGTGCTGTATGCTGTATATAAAAAAACTGGCTCAAAAGAGTCATTTGCTTAAGAATCAGACTACTCTGGTTGTGCTGTGTGGCTTTGATTCACTAGGACTCACTTAAAAGAATCATTCGTTCCGGAACCGGTTCGATCACAGTAGTTGAGCAGTATGTTTTAGATTTACAAAGATGACTCACGAGTCATTAGCCGTCTTCCCTTGCTTGTGCTTTGTTCGCTTCGTGTGTATCGTTCACTAAAAAGAACTAGCTCAAAAGAGTCATTCGTTTCAGGAATCGGTTGGATCAGTCCAGTCGGATCAGCGTGTTTTCCATTCAAGGTAATGAAATGGCTTTAAAGAATCCTTTGCTCAAGAATCGGACTACTCCGGATATGCTGCATATTTTTGAATCACTAAAAATCTGTCTCAAAGAGACATTTGCTTCAGAATCAGACTACTCTGGTTGTGCTGTATGGTTTTGATTCACTAGGACCAACTCAAAAGAGTCGGTAAAAGAATCAAGTGGATCACACCAATTGATTGTGCTTTAGGTTTTCAATTCACTAAGAAGAACCTACTCTTTCATTCGTTAGAGTCATTCATTCAGGAAACAGTTCAGTTCGATCTCACTAGTCAAGCAGAATGTTTTTGATTCAAATAAAAGTTATTTACTCAAGAATCAGACTATTCTGGTTATGCTGTATGTTTTCGATTCACTATAAAGAACTGCCTCAAGAAACTCTTTTGTTCTGCTATAAAGACTACACTGCAGTGCTATATTTTATGTTTAACATCATTCTGTATAACTGTGTCCCAATTCCCAATCCTAGCTGCTTTAGAATACAAATCTACTGGTATAAAAAATGACTTTGCGCAAAATGATTTTGCTGTTGAAAACGGGATTTTTTTTTCATTTTATTGTCCTGAAGTGAAGCGCTGAGCTCGCAGCTGATTGGCCCATCTTTAATGAACATGTTTTGACACTTCCAGTAGACGCAGCCTCAAGCTGTCGTGATTCGTTGCGTCACCGCACGCCTCCGGTTTACATTGGGTGCAAGAGAGGCTCCAAACCAACACCTCGCTCAATAACCCTGCTGAATTCATCATGCATGGGCCATATTATGTCCTAAATGATCAATGGAAGCTCCGGCTCTCATATGGCTAATCGCATTAGTGCGTTTCTCTGGGTGTGAGAGAGGCTGGCATTTAGCGCCTATGCCAGGCCTGTGGCGCAGACGTTTAACACTATTACTCCAGTGCCAGGCCCTCTGACGGAGGAGAAACAGGCCAAAATGAGAGAAGGGAGAGAGCCGAAGCGCTGAGGAGGATTACTTCTCTAATGGCCAACATCCACATCTCTCCTTAATTGTGTGCACAGAGACTCTTACTCTCTCTCCGTCATGGCACGCACACAGCAAAATTGATGAAATGTTCGCAACTGATTGGCCAATAAACAGAGTGCTTTTGGCTCCGCTGCAGTCTCCAGATGCTTGACTACTACAAGATCGTTTGAACCGACTAGTTTTATACAGATGAGTTTTGGCAGACTCCTAATCAACTACTAAGTGCTGTATTATTGAGCAGGGTTTCGGGGGAATCGCTCAGAAGCGAGGCCTGTGGGAAATGAAGTTCTTACCTATGGTGCAGTTGGCTGTAATTTTCCTTCGTTTGGGGTTGTGTCGCAGCAGCTCCAGCTCTCGCTTTGTAGGCTCCCACATTGAATATTTCTCTCCAATACCTGATGTTTTAGAGAATTCTTGCATTATATTTCATATAAAACAACCTATGAATATACACAATACTTTTTTTTTTTT